AAGGCATCAAGCTCATTGATGAACTCTCCAAGGGAACCTGGAGGGCGATAGATGACAAGGATATTAAGCTTAAATGCCCATGTTGTGCATCTAAGGGTTAACACAGTTCAATATTCTAATTCTGTATTCTTAAAAAAAATATGGAAATAGCCATGGTTATGTGGGTTAGCAATAGCAGTGATACCCTTTTAGTGGTGTCTTCTGTCAGCTATCGCAATAATTTTTATTTGCCTTGCTGAACCATTATGCCATGTTTCTTTTTATTGATATTGGTTTTAAAAGGGTATGAACCATCGACCATGTCGAATGTGAGGTACTGTATGAAGCATGTCTGACTCAGGGCCATGGAAAACATCATAGGTCAAATAAACTGTGGAGCTCAGCAATGTGTCAACTGATAAAGCACCAACGTGCCTATATTGGTGTTCCAAGAAAGGATTAATTAAACACAGGTCTGGCTGTGGCTTTGCTGATAGTGGCCCACTGTTACTATTTCATAGATGGGAAGCAACATGGCATCCTGATGATGGATTACAGAAGATACATCCCAAATGGCACCCTATTCCCTATATAGTGCACTACTTTTGACCAGAGCCCATAAGTCATTTGGGACGCAGATAGAAGAAGAAGAATGCATTCAGAAAAACAACAGTTCTGTAGTTAATGGCAACCTTTTGATGTTCTTGCTATGCTTAGAGGAAACTGTTTGTCAAATGTGTGTACAGAATAACAACTAACAGTTTTTTTCTGTCTGGATGGTTTATACAGCAAAGGGACTTTCACCCTTGTTGGTTATTATAGGCCTTGCACATCCTGTCAATTAAATGTTTTCTTAGACAGGGACAATTTATGTTAATGCCTGTGGCTGATGGAAAGTCAATACAAGCAACACAACTGTTTTCATTCTCTAGTCCTCACCAAACACATGTTTAGATTCCACATGAGGTGATACTCTCCAATTTTGTCTACGTCAGTTTTTCCTCATTTTCGTTTTGATTTGGAACTGAAGAGGAGCTAATGAATAAATAACAGTATTTAACTTTTAATCGAGACCATGTGTTCTTCCTTAATAGACGTGTTTAAAATGATGTTGTGTTAGTTGAACAAAGACTTCTTTGGAAGTAAGCCATCATTTGACAGGCTAAATAGAGGAACATAATATGGACTTTTGAGAATCAAAATGGAAAAAGAGGACCACATTGGAAATCAGCCTTCTTTGGGCATTATTGTGTTTTTTCTTTGGTAATTTTTTAATCTGGCTGGAGCAGCTTTATACTTTTAATTATCAAATCAATTCAATCAATCAATGAACCAATCAGACAATCAATCAGTCTCTCAATCCATGTAAAGTGTGCAGCTCTGTTTGTCCTTAGACAGGCTACTGTACCTACTGTACCTTAATGTGTTCATACCTTCACTCATTTTATCCATGCAAACTGGAGAAAAAAGGAGTAACGCACACAAACCCAGCCCCAGGGGCAGCCAGTGGTGGAACCACCAACGACCAAGCATTAGGCTTCCTGAACACTAAACAGAAGCAGGCCTTGGTCCTCCACTGCCCCTCCTACTGCAAAGGCAGACCAACACAGAATACATTGAGTTGGCTTCCCTCTGATTTATGTTTACCCTCTCTCTCTTTCTGTTGCACATGCTTTCTTAATTACTTAATGTTTATTGTATGTACCTTTTTTTTAAAAGTGTTGACATGAAAGTTAGAATGCAACACTGCGCAAGTCATCATTAAAGTCAGTCATTGTCTGTCCACTGCAGGGCAAAAATAGCGTCATATCATATTTGCCACCACTGGGTAAAGAATCCATTGTAATTATTACGTTGCTGACATGATAATGCAACATTATCTTTGAAGACTTGAATTATACTGAACAAAAATATAAACGCAACATGCAACAATTTCAAAGATTTTACTGAGTTACAGTTGATATGAGGAAATCAATCAATTAAAATAAATACATTAGGCCCTAATCTATGGATTTCACATGACTGGGAATACAGATATGCATCTGTTGGTCAAAGATAACTTACAAAAAAATGGGCCTCACAATGGGCCTCAGGATCTCGTCACAGTGTTTCTTTGCATTCACATTGCTATCGATAAAATGCAATTGTGTTTATTGTCCGTAGCTTATGCCTGCCCATACCATAAGCCCACGGTTGGGATGGTGTTCTTCGGCTTGCAAGTACCCCCTTTTTCCTCCAAACATAACGATGGTCATTATGGCCAAACGGTTATATTTTGGTTTCATCAGACCAGAGGACATTTCTCCAAAAAGTACGATCTTTGTCCCCATGTGCGGTTGCAAACCGTAATCAGACTTTTTTTATGGCGGTTTTGGAGCAGTGGCTTCTTCCTTGCTGAGCGGCCTTTCAGGTTATGTCGATATAGGACTTGTTTTACTGTGGATATAGATAATTTTGTACCTGTTTCCTCCAGCATCTTCACAAGGTCCTTTGCTGTTGTTCTCGGATTGATTTGCACATTTCGCACCAAAGTATGTTCATCTCTAGGAGACAGAACGCGTCTCCTTCCTGAGCGGTATGACGGCTGCGTGGTCCCATGGTGTTTATACTTGCGTACTATTGTTTGTACAGATGAACGTGGTACCTTCAGGCGTTTGGAAATTGCTCCCAAGGATGAACAAGACTTGGGGAGGTCTACCATTTATTTTCTGAGGTCTTGGCTGATTTCCCATGATGTCAAGCAAAGAGGCACTGAGTTTGAAGGTAGGCCTTGAAATACATCCACAGGTACACCTCCTATTGACTCAAATGATGCCACAAAGTAGATGTCCTAACCGACTTGCCAAAACTATAGTTTGTTAATAAGAAATGTGTGGAGCGGTTGAAAAACTAGTTTTAATGACTCCAACCTAAGTGTATGTAAACTTCCGACTTCAACTGTAAGCTTTTTGTGAGTATGGAACATTTCTGGGATATTTTATTTCAGCTCATGAAACATGGAACCGACACATTACATGTTGCGTTTATATTTTTGTTCAGTATACTTACAGATACACACGGTAATAATACATTAGCACATTTTGTAGGTAGACTGCATTGACGTTGGCGCCAACCAAGCTTCTTTTGTTAGATTCATTTAATATTTAAGGTGACTAACAGGTTTGCGCTGAGCTCAAGCTAAATGCTTCACCTTCTTGTGATGCTTTTGTTTGCTGGCAGGGCATGTCAATGTCAATGTCATGTTTTGAATGTATCATATGCTATTACCGGTCTCATGCTACGTCTGTGAGGTTAATAACCCAATGGCAAAGGTTGCGTCCCAAATGGCACCCTATTCCCTATACAGTGCACTACTTTTGTCCACAACACTGAAAGACCAAGAGGGCTTTATGACATGCCACATCAAATGCACAGCTGTATTGACATTATTAATCCCATGTGATGTTACGCAGCCTTGTGTGGATTTGGGATATGAATTGCATTCAATTCAAATAAAGGCTAAGCTCAAATTTTTGTTTGATGTTTGAATGCCACTGCTATTGAACCATATGGTACAATAGTCTTTTGCAAAGTTTTTTGAAGCAGTTTAATTACACTGAATGCGGCTTGAGCTTTCTATCTCTGCTCAAAGGTGTGACTGCCTTTCCTTTTTCCCAATGGAACCGGTGGTTGTGAATTCTCAAATCCTTTCGCTTAACACCAGCACCACCAGTACACTTGTTATTGAGCTAGAGAGTAGTCCAACAGGCCTTTCTGGCATCTCAGGGAGGAAACATGCATGTTTTTCTACCCCGTGCCCCTCTCACGTTCATCCTCAGTGGGCACCGGCTGCAGCTCCATATGGCTGCATACTGAGGGCCCAGTGTTTATACCAGCATTAGGCATCTAACGTCTCAAAACAGGCAGGATAAAATCACTTGTACTTGTCCCTCCTTGGTGTTCCCAACTCCTCTATTGAGACCGTGGTGGTGATTAACACATTCCACACATGGGATATACATTGACCAGGGCATCTGTCGGACTGACTGTATCTTTGTATGTACAGTATGTGGGTGTTATCCTTATTTAGCTGTTCTAATTCATTAGATTAGATACACAGGGATGCAAATGTTGGCCAGCTAGAGCTAGATTGAGCACGTACTGTGATCCAGAAAACTTTGAGTAGTCAAATATTGTGATTATAGCCTACAGGGAGCATTTTTGTTGCTTCTTTTTCTTGGTTGCTTATTTGCTCTTAGTCAAAAGTCAAATTATCACAGAAATGTGGTCGGGGGCTGAAAAGGTGTCTGAGAATGCCGTTTCTGTACAAGCCTCAAGCCTGTGCTGAAAAATAAACATGGGAGGTATTTCCCCCAAATCGTCAGGAAAGGGAATTTGCAGTTATTTTCTAATATTTCCTTAACTACTTCTACAGCTAAGTTATGGCTTGCCAAAGCTAAGCTTAGGTGTATAAGAATAACAAGCTAAAAACTGCAAAACGAATGATTGTGTGATTGTGAATCAATGGTTGACCCTTTTTATCTATTGTTTTTATGGTTGATACGGTCTACTGATTTGGCAGGAGACCAGGGGTGTATTCATTATACAGATTCTGTTGCAAAGCATTTTGTTCGTTTGCAACAGAAACAGTTTACTCCAAACGGATAACATTTTGCAATGAAAACAAGCGTTTCTATTGGACAAATTCAGGTAGGTCCCTTCCCATTTCGTTCCGTTGGCTCGTTCCGTTGGCTCTGTTTGCTTCGTTTGGTTGCGATACGTAATAAATACACCCCAGATGGTTGATGGATTGGATTCAAGAGAAAGGTGTATATAAAGACATGATTCACTTCAAATCGAATTGATATATGTAATATGTGAAGCCCAACAGCCTCTGTCCCTATTCCCTTTATAATCCCCTATGGGCCCTGATCAAAAGTACTGCACTACATATGGTATAGTGCCATTGGGGATACACCTATAAAAGTGAAGTGCATTATCAAAACAATTTACAAAAAAGTAATTCTATCCTTTACAGAAATATGGGGGATGTGCAGCTTGTGACTACAACGCGGATCTCCAAGACCAGCTTGACATTAGGCCGAGGTTCTCCAAGACAGGAGTCTCCAACCTTTACTCTCCCACCCCGCAATGCCCGGGTCAGCCCAGGAGGGACAGCACGCCTTGATGGGAAGGTAGGAATCTCTCTCTCAAAATGCCTGTCCCAAATCGCTCCCTATATCCCTTCCCCTTACATTTTACATTTTAGTCATTTAGCAGATGCTCTTATCCAGAGCGACTTACAGTTAGTGAGTGCATAATTTGTTTTTCTTCATACTGGCCCCCCGTGGGAATCGAACCCACAACCCTGGCGTTGCAAGCGCCATGCTCTACCAACTGAGCCTATCTCCTTGATGTTAGCATTTCTGAATAGGTATAACCAGTGTAGTGGTAAGGCTTCCACCATATCTGCAAACATTGAAGGATTAGGGCCATAAGGAGGAGTAGGGATCGAATTGTGAATGGACCAAAATGTCATTATATCAGTTTATTTTCAACCCACCCGAGTGTGCGTGAGCTGTGCATGTTGCGTTGTGTTTAGAGTAGAGGTGCTGAAGTGGACTTTGTTGCCCTTGGGTCAAGGCCTTGTGTTGACCCCACACCTCCTGTTAGCAAGACTCCTACTGTGCTGTTCACTGTGCTCTCCTTGGCATCCCTCTCTGGGCATCACTGTCTGTTTGGACTTGGGACCAATCCCAAATCGACCCCTACGCCCTATGGAGATAAGTAATATGGTGAAACCTCCACCTAGCCTATAAGAGGGGCAAGGTGGACATATTCCCATATTACTAACACCTGTCATAGCCTTTCATATCTTCACAAGTGCATAGGGTTTAGGGTTTGATTTGGGATAGGGCATCAGTCTCTGCTTATCAGCTCACTCAATATGGTCATGGGTGAGCAACCAGGCTTTGCAAAAAACAAAAAAACTAAACAGCTGTTTGAGAATGCTTATCCCAACAATACTTGAGGCTGACAGAGAGGACTGTCAAGTCTTGATTTATCGCAAAGGTCCTTTTGGCGAAGACTGCTTCAATTTCCATTTTCCATATGATTAATGCATGGTGACTTGTTATCCTAGCAAAGAAGTCTTTGCCCAAAAATGTTTTGAAGTTATCCAAACAGATTCGTAGGCTTTTAAAAATACATTAAAAAAATTAGATAAGAGTGTTGATCGGGATTAAGTTAGAGGTTTATCATGGGTGAAATGCTAGTCAGGAAGAATAATATAATTTATGCCATTTAGCAAACGCTTTTATCCAAAGCATCTTAGTCATGCGAGCATAAATGTTCATAATGGGTGGCCCCAGTGCGAATCGAACCCACTATCCTGGAAGTGCAAGTGCCGAACTATACACAGGACCGCAATGCATTTCTCCAATACATTTTAATTCGTAACTATATCTCAAGAGTGTAGGTCATTTGTTTTGTAGCCTTGATTTGTTACCCCCCCAAAATGCATGATTTAAATGTTACGCTGTCCACTGCACATGTCAACATGGCCAGTCAGTCAAGCTAGATAGACTATCTACAGTGGCTTTGCTCTGTGTTTGGAACCCTTTCATCATGTCCCCTTGTCATGTTTTGACAACCCCCAGAGGGTCGGCTCTGCTCCTCAGATGCCCCGATCTCAGTTCCTGTCAAGTCTCCCCACTGCCTTCCATGTAAAAGGGATAGTTCACACATAAAAAAATGACATTGTAAGTAAACCAATGTAAGCAGGCAATGGATAAGGTATGGCTGCAATCAATGTTTGGTTTTGTTTACCTTACTGCTGTCTTCAAATGCTAATGCTTTGAATTAGTCATTTTTAAAGGGGAAATTCAGAATTGTACAACTTCATGTTATATGGTTCCTCACCCTGAAAGTAGTCTATGGGCCAGGAGAAACTGTAATCCATGGTTCGGTTTTAACGACATGAAGGCAGTGTTATGGCAATGCAGTGTGTGGGATCTCTCTTAGATTGGAAAGGATGTGTGACTAATGAGACTGTAGTGTTACAGAAAGCAGGCTCCTGCCACTTGGAGTTCACCTCCACCATACACATGGTTTTCATTCAGCTTCTCTGTCTCTGCTTTGAGTCTGATGTAAAGCATTGGAGTAATTTCTGGGACTCATGGTAAAAATCCGAATTGCATCCTCTTTATGAAATGATACAGTAAAGTAGGGTTCCCCAACTGGCGGCCCGCGGGCCAAAACCATGTGTATGGTGGACCCCAAGTCTTCTGAGCAAAAAAATAAAAACAGTATACACTACCGGTCATAAGTTTTAGGACACCTACTCATTCAAGGGTTTTTCTTTATTTCTACTATTTTCTACATTGTAGAATAATAGTGAAGACATCAAAACTATGAAATAACACATGGAGTCATGAATTAACCAAAAAAGTGTTAAACAAATCAAAATATATTTTATATTTGAGATTCTTCAAATAGCCACCCTTTGCCTTGATGACAGCTTTGCACACTCTTGACATTCTCTCAACCAGCTTCATGAGGTAGTCACCTGGAATGCATTTCAATGTGCCTTCTTAAAAGTTAATTTGTAGAATTTATTTCCTTAATGCGTTTGAGCCAATCAGTTGTGTTGTGACAAGGTAGGGGGGGTATACAGAAGCTAGCCCTATTTGGTAAAATACCAAGTCCATATTATGACAAGAACAGCTCAAATAAGCAAAGAGAAACGACAGTCCATCATTACTTTAAGACATGAAGGTCAGTCAATACAGAACATTTCAAGAACTTTGAACATTTCTTCAAGTGCAGTCGCAAAAACCATCAAGCGCTATGATGAAACTTGCTCTCATGAGGAGCGCCACAGGAATGGAAGACACAGAGTTACTTCTGCTGCAGAGGATAAGTTCATTAGTTTTCCAGCCTCAGAAATTGCAGCCCAAATAAATGCTTCACAGAGTTCAAGTAACAGACACATCTCAACATCAACTGTTCAGAGGAGACTGTGTGAATCAGGCCTTCATGGTCGAATTGCTGCAAAGAAACCACTACTAAAGGACACCAATAAGAAGAAGAGACCTGCTTGGGCCAAGAAACACGAGCAAGTTGGGAAGAGATCTTTGACGTACCGATCCCATGGCATAATGTTTATGAACTGACACGCAAAACGACACCGGATTCAAAAATTAGAATCTTTCAATTTAAATTATTATATAAAATTCTTGCTACCAATAGAATGTTATTTATATGGGGGATACAATCTTCCCAGCTCTGCAGATTTTGCTGTGAAGAGATAGAATCATTAGATCATTTGTTTTGGTTCTGTCCATTTGTAGCTTGTTTTTGGACACAGGTCCAGGAATGGCTAAAGGATTGCAATATTTACCTGGAACTAACCTTGCAGATAGCATTACTGGGTGATCTGAAAAGTCATAGTCAATCAATCAATAATATAATAATACTTTTAGCAAAAATATTTATTTTTAATTCACAATCTGTAGAAGCAATGAGAATAGAAAGGTTCAGAACTTTTGTAAAACATCACAGTACGGTTGAAATATATATGGCAAATAGAAATCCTATATGGATGGGGTTAAGAGATAGATGGGAGGTATTGAATAGAGTTGAAGGATGGGACTAATAACAAATAACAACAAATAATAACAAAGATAGCTAATAATGTAAGCATACTGTGTCCATAATAAGTATATAGGTTGTATGTTGGGAGCTTTTGGGAAAGAGCACAGTTAGAAAGATATGGCATTTAGAAGCAAACCGGATGGACATCATGAAAATGATCGGAGAGGTTGAGAGTAGAAGAAGTTCAGGAGCAAAAAAATAAATAAATATATATATATATATAGAATTATTGTAAAATTAACTCTGTCCATAAGGTGTAGATAGTAAGTATAGACCGGAAGTAGAGGCCTGGGCGTTGTTGTTCACTAATTTACTCCAAGTAGGGAAAGGATGGTGGGGTTGAAAAGTAATAAAGGGGAATATTTAAAAAAAAAAGAAACACGAGCAATGGACATTAGACCGGTGGAAATTGTCCTTTTGGAGTCCAAATTTGAGATTTTTTGTTCCATTTTTTGTTTTTGGGTGAACGGATGATGTCCGCATGTGTAATTCCCACCGTAAAGCATAGACGAGGAGGTGTTGCGGTGTGGGGGGTGCTTTGCTGGTGACACTGTCTGTGATTTATTTAGAATTCAAGGCACACTTAACAAGCATGGCTACCACAGCATTCTGCAGCGACACGCCATCCCATCTGGTTTGGGCTTAGTGGGACTATAATTTGCTTTTCAACAGGACAATGACCCAACACACCTCCGGGCTGTGTAAGGGCTATTTTACCAAGAAGGAGAGTGATGGAGTGCTGCATCAGATGACCTGGCCTCCACAATCCCCCGACCTCAACCAAATTGAGATGGTTTGATGGATGTGTATTTTTGTTATGAGGACAGTCTAGCCTCGCCTTACGCATCACTTCTTTATCCTTTGTGATTGGTCGGTTGTGATGAGGGTGAGATGCTTGTTAGCAGAGGAAGAGAGAGCCAGCATTGCAGTGTCTGATTTTGTACAGCCTGACTGTCCAGTGCTGAGCAGACCTGGGTTGAAATACTATTCAGAATCATTTCAAATCCTTTATTTGTGCTTGATTGAGCTTGCCTGGGTTAATGGGCCAATAAAATAGTCCCAAAACTGTAAACCCTGCCCATCTGTCACTCCAGGCAGGCTAGACCAAACGCTCAAATTATATGAAATAATTCAAATAGTATTTGAACCCAGGTAAGGTGCTGAGACAGAGTAGCTATATGGAATGCTTCTTGATAGGGATTAAAATATCTTAGTCTTGTGACGTTCAGCTTCCTGAGGTATTGTTTTTTTCAGAGCCGCTGGAGCAGAACACAGTCAGCTCCTCTTCTGCTTGGATGAGCTGAAACAACGCAGAATTTCATTATTACATTATGTGGAGTTGTACAGTGGTACCTCAAACTGTGATCGAGCTAAAGCATGTTTGTGTGCAGTGAGAGCATCTTGGTGAAGGAATTTTGAAATTATTTTTAAAATAGTGTGTGGATGAAGATATGTTCAGCACTAACCTTAAGACTTTAGGTTCTTTACTATCAATGGAATGGAACACCTCAGACATCTGCCAGCCAAATGCTACACACACACACTCTGTTAGATTGAAATGGGAACCCACCACCTATGATTTACAGACCACCTCCGACCTTTAAACAAGGGTATCACATACACAGATGGTTATCTGCTTCCAGGAGGAAGTCATGTGTCAGGGAGATTGTTACTTTGTTCTGTTGCTCTCCCAGGTAGCATTCATCACTACTGAAGGCAAGATCCATCACCTCTCCTTATGTCTGCGTCCCAAATGGCACCCTATTCCCTGTATATTCCACTGCTTTTGACCAGGACCCATAGGGCTCTGGTCAAACGGAGTGCACTATATATGGAATAGGGTGCCATTTGGGACGCAGACGTTTGCATGTCTGGATTGAAGCTTTTTCAAATGTACTGTGTTACGTAGTGGAAACTTGACTTCTCTTTTATCAGAACGATGCATGTTGTAGCTCCTCTGGCACTAAATAATTATATTTGTGGGGTCAGATACTGATCTTCTGTAGATGCCATACAGTGGGGAGAACAAGTATTTGATACACTGCCGATTTTGCAGGTTTTCCTACTTACAAAGCATGTAGAGGTCTGTAATTTTTATCATAGGTACACTTCAACTGTGAGAGACGGAATCTAAAACAAAAATCCAGAAAATCACATTGTATGATTTTTAAGTAATTAATTTGTATTTTATTGCATGACATAAGTATTTGATCACCTACAAACCAGTATGAATTCCGGCTCTCACAGACCTGTTAGTTTTTCTTTAAGAAGCCCTCCTGATCTCCACTCATTAACTGTATTAACTGCACCTGTTTGAACTCGTTACCTGTATAAAAGACACCTGTCCACACACTCAATCAAACAGACTCCAACCTCTCCACAATGGCCAAGACCAGAGAGCTGTGTAAGGACATCAGGGATAAAATTGTAGACCTGCACAAGGCTGGGATGGGCTACAGGACAATAGGCAAGCAGCTTGGTGAGAAGGCAACAACTGTTGGCGCAATTATTAGAAAATGGAAGAAGTTCATGATGACGGTCAATCACCCTCGGTCTGGGGCTCCATGCAAGATCTCACCTCGTGGGGCATCAATGATCATGAGGAAGGTGAGGGATCAGCCCAGAACTAAACGGCAGGACCTGGTCAATGACCTGAAGAGAGCTGGGACCACAGTCTCAAAGAACACCATTAGTAACACACTACGCCGTCATGGATTAAAATCCTGCAGCGCACGCAAGGTCCCCCTGCTCAAGCCAGCGCATGTCCAGGCGCGTCCGAAGTTTGCCATTGACCATCTGGATGATCCAGAGGTGGAATGGGAGAAGGTAATGTGGTCTGATGAGACAAAAATAGAGCTTTTTGGTCTAAACTCCACTCGCCGTGTTTGGAGGAAGAAGAAGGACGAGTACAACCCCAAGAACACCATCCCAACCATGAAGCATGGAGGTGGAAACATCATTATTTGGGGATGCTTTTCTGCAAAGGGGACAGGATGACTGCACCGTATTGAGGGGAGGATGGATGGGGCCATGTATCGCGAGATCTTGGCCAACAACCTCCTTCCCTCAGTAAGAGCATTGAAGACGGGTCGTGGCTGGGTCTTCCAGCATGACAACGACCCAAAACACACAGCCAGGGCAACTAAGGAGTGGCTCTGTAAGAAGCATCTCAAGGTCCTGGAGTGGCCTAGCCAGTCTCCAGACCTGAACCCAATAGAAAATCTTTGGAGGGAGCTGAAAGTCTGTATTGCCCAGCGACAGCCCCGAAACCTGAAGGATCTGGAGAAGGTCTGTATGGAGGAGTGGGCCAAAATCCCTGCTACAGTGTGTGCAAACCGGGTCAAGACCTACAGGAAACGTATGATCTCTGTAATTGCAAACAAAGGTTTCTGTACCAAATATTAAGTTCTGCTTTTCTGATGCATCAAATACTTATGTCATGCAAAAAAATGCAAATTAATTACTTAAAAATCATGCAAAGTGATTTTCTGGATTTTTGTTTTAGATTCCGTCTCTCACAGTTGAAGTGTACCTATGATAAAAATTACAGACCTCTACATGCTTTGTAAGTAGGAAAACCTGCAACATCGGCAGTGCTATTTGGGACTCCAGTGTTTTATCCCAATGCAGATTATCCTGTAGCTTCTGGAAAGAGTTAGGGTTGTAATTACTATTTGTCTCTGGCCTTGGCCCTGGGGAGCTACAGTCTATTCTAGGTTTCATTGGACAGGTATGTTTGTGTTGTCTACTTTACTCTGTCTGCACTAATCCACTCTGCTCTCTAGTACTCTATTGATATTCAATGAAAAATAACAAATGCTCTACTACCAGATCAAAGTTGGAGAAGATTGATGTGTAAATATATGTGTGCCATATTCCCTTCATAGTGCAATGACGATAGTTTAGGATTTTTAAAAAACATTGCAGCTAAAAGCTGAAGCGTCAGCAGCACACCTCGCTGTCCCCTCACATCCTTTGGCTCTGGTCTTTGAAATGGTTAGAACTCCTCTTATCTCAACAGAGGACGCCACCTCGCTGGGAGCCCAAATCTCTCTCAATGAACTCAAAAGGGAATGGGATAGCATGAATAAAGGCAAATCACCTGGATGGGACAGTTTTTCCTCCTGAGGTCTATTAACATTTTGGAATCAGTTAGGTCCACTATTGCTCGAAATGATTAATACAGCCGTTCACAAAGGTTCATTTGGGGGAGATGTGAATACAGCACAAATTTTGCTTCTATAAAAAAAAGGTCAGAATGCCACCAAGTGTTCTCACAATCACCCCCCATCTTTGATAAACACGGATGTTAAACTTTTTTCCAAAAAGTTTTCGTCCAGTCTCGAGACTTGAGACACACGGACCAAGGCGGGTTTGTTAAAAAATATTCATCATCGGATAATCTCCGACTATTACAAATCTGAAATGCTTCATTAGAAACAATAGCTCCTTGGGTCGTTTTATCTCTCGATGCAGTAAAAGCTTTTGATAGACTAGAATGGTGATACAGTGAGGGGAAAAAAGTATTTGATCCCCTGCTGATTTTGTACGTTTGCCCACTGACAAAGACATGATCAGTCTATAATTTTAATGGTAGGTTTATTTGAACAGTGAGAGACAGAATAACAAAAAAAATAATCCAGAAAAACGCATGTCAAAAATGTAATGAATTGATTTGCATTTTAATGAGGGAAATAAGTATTTGACCCCTCTGCAAAACATGACTTAGTACTTGGTGGCAAAACCCTTGTTGGCAATCACAGAGGACAGATGTTTCTTGTAGTTGGCCACCAGGTTTGCACACATCTCAGGAGGGATTTTGTCCCACTCCTCTTTGCAGATCTTCTCCAAGTCATTAAGGTTTCGAGCCTGACGTTTGGCAACTCGAACCTTCAGCTCCCTCCACAGATTTTCTATGGGATTAAGGTCTGGAGACTGGCTAGGCCACTCCAGGAACTTAAAAAAATTAATTTAAAAAATATGCCATTTAGCAGACGCTTTTATCCAAAGCGACTCACAGTCATGCGTGCATACATTATTATTATTATTTTTTGTGTATGGGTGGTCCCGGGGATCGAACCCACTACCTTGGCGTTACAAGCGCCGTGCTCTACCAGCTGAGCTACAGAGGACCAGACCTTAATGTGCTTCTTCTTGAGCCACTTCTTTGTTGCCCTGGCTGTGTGTTTTGGGTCATTGTCATGCTGGAATACCCATCCACGACCCATTTTCAATGCCCTGGCTGAGGGAAGGAGGTTCTCACTCAAGATTTGACGGTACATGGCCCCGTCCATCGTCCCTTTGATACGGTGAAGTTGTCCTGTCCCCTTAGCAGAAAAACACCCCCAAAGCATAATGTTTCCACCTCCATGTTTGACGGTGGGGATGGTGTTCTTGGGGTCATAGGCAGCATTCCTCCTCCTCCAAACACGGCGAGTTGAGTTGATGCCAAAGAGCTCCATTTTGGTCTCATCTGACCACAACACTTTCACCCAGTTCTCCTCTGAATCATTCAGATGTTCATTGACAAACTTCAGACTGGCCTGTATACAGTGGGGAAAAAAGTATTTAGTCAGCCACCAATTGTGCAAGTTCTCCCACTTAAAAAGATGAGAGAGGCCTGTAATTTTCATCATAGGTACACGTCAACTATGACAGACAAATTGAGAATTTTTTTTCCAGAAAATCACATTGTAGGATTTTTTATGAATTTATTTGCAAATTATGGTGAAAAATAAGTATTTGGTCACCTACAAACAAGCAAGGTTTCTGGCTCTCACAGACCTGTAACTTCTTCTATAAGAGGCTCCTCTGTCCTCCACTCGTTACCTGTATTAATGGCACCTGTTTGAACTTGTTATCAGTATAAAAGACACCTGTCCACAACCTCAAACAGTCACACTCCAAACTCCACTATGGCCAAGACCAAAGAGCTGTCAAAGGACACCAGAAACAAAATTGTAGACCTGCACCAGGCTGGGAAGACTGAATCTGCAATATGTAAGCAGCTTGGTTTGAAGAAATCAACTGTGGGACAAATTATTAGGAAATGGAAGACATACAAGACCACTGATAATCTCCCTCGATCTGGGGCTCCACGCAAGATCTCACCCCGTGGGGTCAAAATGATCACAAGAACGGTGAGCAAAAATCCCAGAACCACACGGGGGGACCTAGTGAATGACCTGCAGAGAGCTGGGACCAAAGTAACAAAGCCTACCATCAGTAACACACTACGCCGCCAGGGACTCAAATCCTGCAGGGCCAGACGTGTCCCCCTGCTTAAGCCAGTACATGTCCAGGCCCGTCTGAAGTTTGCTAGATGGCATTTGGATGATCCAGAAGAGGATTGGGAGAATGTCATATGGTCAGATGAAACCAAAATATAACTTTTGGTAAAAACTCAACTCGTCGTGTTTGGAGGACAACGAATGCTGAGTTGCATCCAAAGAACACCATACCTACTGTGAAGCATGGGGGTGGAAACATCATGCTTTGGGGCTGTTTTTCTGTAAAGGGACCAGGACGACTGATCCGTGTAAAGGAAAGAATGAATGGGGCCATGTATCGTGAGATTTTGAGTGAAAACCTCCTTCCATCAGCAAGGGCATTGAAGATGAAACGTGGCTGGGTCTTTCAGCATGACAATGATCCCAAACACACCGCCCGGGCAACGAAGGAGTGGCTTCGTAAGAAGCATTTCAAGGTCCTGGAGTGGCCTAGCCAGTCTCCAGATCTCAACCCCATAGAAAATCTTTGGAGGGAGTTGAAAGTCCGTGTTGCCCAGCGACAGCCCCAAAACATCACTGCTCTAGAGGAGATCTGCATAGAGGAATGGGCCAAAATACCAGCAACAGGACAATGACCCTAAGCACACAGCCAAGATAACGCAGGAGTGGCTTCGGGACAAGTCTCTGAATGTCCTTGAGTGGCCCAGCCAGAGCCCGGACTTGAACCCGATCTAACATCTCTGGAGAGACCTGAAAATAGCTGTGCAGCGACCCTCCCCATCCAACCTGACAGAGCTTGAGAGGATCTGCATAGAGGAATGGAAGAAACTCCCCAAATACAGGTGTGCCAAGCTTGTAGCGTCATACCCAAGAAAACTTGAGGCTGTAATCACTGCCTAAGGTGCTTCAACAAAGTACTGAGTAAAAGGGTCTGAATTTTTGTGAAAACCTTGTGAAGACTTACAGAAAACGTTTGACCTGTGTCATTGCCAACAAAGGGTATATAACAAAGTATTGAGAAACTTTTGTTATTGACCAAATACTTATTTTCCACCATAATTTCCAAATAAATTCATTAAAAATCCTACAATGTGATTTTCTGAACGTCATAGTTGACGTGTACCTATGATGAAAATTACAGGCCTCTCTCATCTTTTAAGTGGGAGAACTTGCACAATTGGTGGCTGACTAAATACTTTTTTTCCCCACTGTATGTGCTTTCTTGAGCAGGGGGACCTTGCGGACGCTGCAGGGTTTCAGTCCTTCACGGCGTAGTGTGTTACCAATTGTTTCCTTGGTGACTATGGTCCCAGCTGCCTTGAGATCATTGACAAGATCCTCCCGTGTAGTTCTGGGCTGAGTCCTCACCGTTCTCATGATCATTGCCGAGGGAGATTGACAGTTCTTTTTGTGTTTCTTCCATTTTGCGAATAATCGCACCAACTATTGTCACCTTCTCACCAAGCTGCTTGGCGATGGTCTTGTAGCCCATTCCAGCCTTGTGTAGGTCTACAATCTTGTCCCTGACATCCATGGAGAGCTCTTTGGTCTTGGCCATGGTGGAGAGTTTGGAATCTGATTGATTGCTTCTGTGGACAGGTGTCTTTTATACAGGTAACAAGCTGAGATTAGGAGCACTCCCTTTAAGAGTGTGCTCCTAATCTCAGCTCGTTACCTGTATAAAAGACACCTGGGAGCAAGAAATCTTTCTGATTGAGAGGGGGTCAAATACTTATTTCCCTCATTAAAATGCAAATCAATTTATAACATTTTTGAAATGCGTTTTTCTGGATTTTTTTGTTGTTATTCTGTGTCTCACTGTTCAAATAAACCTACCATTAAAATTATAGACTGATCATTTCTTTGTCAGTGGGCAAATGTACAAAATCAGCAGGGGATCAAATACTTTTTTCCCTCACTGTAGCAAGAGGGTGGAAAAAGTAGATCCTATGTAACTAAAGTCTGGGCACCCCTGATCTAGACAATGTATCTCAATCGCATTGAAGATCATAGATAAATTCAGCGCCATCTCAAATTATAAAATGAATCAGCCCTACTACTGCCTCTTAAGATCCCAATGGAGGACTCCATCTCTACTTATGGATTCCCAATTTTTTCCCATTTTAGATATTTGGGAGTAGATACATTTAATTCCTTAGATAAAACCATTGCCAGAAACTTTAACAGAACACTCAAATCAATGTAATCCGACTAACATCCCAGTTGCTTTAACCGGCAGAATATCCATTGTTAAAATGAATATATTGCCACAGCTGAATTTCTGTAGTTCAATGCTTCCCATGGTTCCCCCTTCTGGCTAGTGGCATAACATTGATAGTGAAGTTTAAAAAATGTAAATGGCAAGATAAGCCATCCCGGATAAAATGTACAAACTTACAAAGAGGGAAAGACGTAGGAGGACTATCCGTACCAAACTTTAAAATGTATTTCCAGGCACTAGCATTTCGCTAGCATTTCGCCCCATCCTAAATTGGTTTAGACATGGTTATTCTGCCCCCTGGCTGAATATAGAGAGATGGTGTATCGTATTACCCTGGAAGAGACTGTCTTTACTGATATACGCCTTAAACAATGCAAACTACGCTTTGGTCGAAGGAATTGTCCGTAGAGCTCCGAGACAGAATTGTGTCGGCACAGATCTGGGGAAGGGTACCAAAACATTTCTGCCACATTGAAGGTCCCCAAGAACACAGTGGCCTCCATCATTCTTAAGTGGAATAAGTTTAGAACCACCAAGACTCTTCCTAGAGCTGGCCTTTATGACAGCCCGCTTGGGGTTTGCCAAAAGGCACCTAAAGGACTCTCAGACCATGAGAAACGTCTGAATAAAACCTGGTACCATCCCTACGGTGAAGCATGGTGGTGGCAGCATCATGCTGTGGGGATGTTTTTCAATGGCAGGGACTGGGAGACTAGTCAGGATCAAGGGAAAGATGAATGGAGCAAAGTACATAGAGATCCTTGATGAAAACCTGCTCCAGAGCACTCAGGCTGGGGCAAATGTTCACCTTCCAACAGGACAATGACCCTAAGCACACAGCCAAGATAACGCAGGAGTGGCTTCGGGACAAGTCTCTGAATGTCCTTGAGTGGCCCAGCCAGAGCCCGGACTTGAACCCGATCTAACATCTCTGGAGAGACCTGAAAATAGCTGTGCAGCGACCCTCCCCATCCAACCTGACAGAGCTTGAGAGGATCTGCATAGAGGAATGGAAGAAACTCCCCAAATACAGGTGTGCCAAGCTTGTAGCGTCATACCCAAGAAAACTTGAGGCTGTAATCACTGCCTAAGGTGCTTCAACAAAGTACTGAGTAAAAGGGTCTGAATTTTTATGTAAATATGATATTAAATTTTTTTTTTTTTTTTTATACATTTGCAAAAATTTCTAAAAACCAGTTTTTGCTTTGTCATTATGGGGGATTGTGTGTAGATTGATGAGGGGAAAAAAAAACTATTTCATCAATTTTAGAATGAGGCTGTAACGTAACAAAATGTGGGGTCTGAATACTTTCCAAATGCAATGTATACTGAACACCTTGTGCTGGGGACAGTGAAAGGCCACTCTAAAATGTGCACTTCTGTCACACATTACAATGCCACAATGCTGACTGCAGGAATCTCCACCAGAGCTGTTGCCAGAGAATGTAATGTTCATTTCTCTACCAATGGCTGCTTCCAACGTCATTTTTTAGAATTTGGCAGTACGTCCAACCGGCCTCACAACCGCAGACCACATGTAACCACACCAGCCCAGGACCTCCACATCCGACTTCTTCACCTGCGGGATTGTCTGAGAACAGCCACCCGGACAACTGTGGGTTTGCACAACTGAAGAGTTTCTGCACAAACTGTCAGAAACCGTCACAGGGAAGCTCATCTGCGTGCTCATCGTCCTCACCAGGGTCTTGAACTGACTGCAGTTTGGCGTCATAACTGACTTCAGTGGGCAAATGCTCACCTTCGATGGCCACTGGCACGCTGGAGAAGTGTGCTCTTCACGGATGAATCCCAGTTTCAACTGTACTGGGAAGATTGCATACGTGTGGGCGAGCGGTTTGCTGATGTCAACGTTGTGAACCGAGCGCCCCATGGTGGCGGTGGGGTTATGTTATGGGCATGCATAAGCTACGGACAGCGAACACAATTTAATTTTATCAATGGCAATTTGAATGCACAGCGATACCGTGACGAGATCCTGAGGCCAATTGTCGTGCCATTCATCCGCCGCCATCACCTCATGTTTCAGCATGATCATGAAGGGTCCCATGTCGCAAGGTTCTGTACACAATTCCTGGAAGCTGAACATTTCCTTGTTCTTCCATGGCCTGCATACTCACCAGACATGTCATCCATTGAGCATGTTTGGGATGCTCTGGATCGACATGTACGACCGCGTGTTCCAGTTTCTGCCAATATCCAGCAACTTCGCACAGCCATTGAAGAGGAGTGGGACAACATTCCACTAGCCACAATCAACAGCCTGATCAACTCTATGCGAAGGAGATGTTGCGCTGCATGAGGCAAATGGTGGTCACACCAGATACTGACTGGTTTTGTGATCCATGCCCCAATTATTATTTTTATTTTTTATGTTGCATGTTGCGTTTTATACTTTTGTTCAGTGTGGTATATATAAATATGGTGCCATTTGGGATGCGGACAATAAGTAATTGGGCGGTGTTGCAATACTATTAATATGGCATAATTACAGACTCTCCTGAAACCTATATAAATAAATAAAAATGTCATGTGTGCTTTGGCAGTGAAAAAGTACTGTAGTTGTAATTGTCTATATTCTACGGTTGACAGTGCAGTTGTCCATCTCAAACCAGTCATGCTGCCTGACAGTGACAGTAAGTGGCCTTTTTCTTCCCGGCAGGCACTGTTGTTGTCATGCTCCAGGGCCATGTTCTTAGTGAGGGGATGCTCCTCTGAAGACAAGGAATGTCCACCAGCATGGAGGCAGGCGTCTGACATGCCACGTGTCCATGTAGCGCCTCTCTCCCCAGCCTCCCAGTCCTTTTAATGGCCTGCCAAGGGTAGAACTCATTCTCCTAAAGAATTCTAGTATTACATAATTACGAGCCAGTAGGAAAATATAGGGGGAACAGCATGCGAGGGAGGCTCCATGTGAACGCTGTGAAAGGTATGCTGCCAGAAACCTGATGGTGGTTGAAACTGCTCGCCTATTGAAAGCAGATGTGGACCACTTCTAGGCTACTCCTACACGTCTCCACCCTGACTCACCGCTCAGCTCACTCCTCTGACCAGTTAGAGAAGCGGCCATATTTCTTCTGCTGCTGGTTTCATTCAAATGTTACATTGGTTTTAATGGCGTACATTGTCCATATTGGCTACTTCTTTTGAAGGCCTTTTTCCGCAGAGAGTGGTCTCATCCATCCACTGGCCATTGTTAGGAACGGTAGTTAAATACTGATGATTATTGTCTTTTGCATGTGTAATTCATAGCAGCCTTTTGGCATTCTGGCTTGACAGTGGCTGCGAAGCCAGGAAAAATACAATGTTGATGAGATGAAGACATCAGGTTGTTTGAATGGTGAAACAGCAGTCTTCATTGTTTCCCCTCCAATGGAATGTTAGCTCAGGATTAAACATTAACATCTTGTCCCTAAATCATGTTGGATTCTCACCATCATGTGGATAGTGGCTTTTCACAGCACTGTGAGAATCAACTTATGAATCACTCAACATCATCAAATGTGGAGTTATCAGTTTGTTTTTCTGTCTGAGTTAAGACATAACAGGGATGCATCTCAAATTGCACCCTATTCCCTATAAATCGAATCAAATTTCATTTGTCACATGCGCCAAATACAACAGGTGTAGACCTTACAGTGAAATGCTTACTTACAAGCCCTTAACCAACAATGCAGTTTTAATAAAAAAGTGTTAAGTAAAAAATAGATAAGTAAAAAATAAAAATAGTTAAAGAGCAGCAGTAAAATAACAGTAGCGAGGCTATATACAGGGGGTACCGGTACAGAGTCAACGTGCAATTTAAGTTTCCCTGCATTAAAGTCCCCGGCCACTAGGAGCGCCACCTCTGGATGAGCGTTTTCCTGTTTGCTTATGGCCTTATACAGCTCATTGAGTGCGGTCTTAGTGCCAGCATCGGTTTGTGGTGGTAAATAGACAGATACGAAAAATATAAATGAAAACTCTCTTGGTAAATAGTGTGGTCTACAGCTTATCATGGTGTACTCTACCTCAGGCGAGCAAAACCTTGAGACTTCCTTAATATTAGATTTTGTGCACCAGCTGTTGTTTACAAATATACACAGACCGCCACTCCTTGTCTTACCGGAGGCAGCTGTTCTATCTTGCTGATGTAGCGTATATCCCGCCAGCTGTATGTGATCCATGTCGTCAATCAGCCACGACTCGGTGAAACATAAGATTTTACAGTTTTTACTGTCCCGTTGGTAGGATATCCTTGTTCTTAGGTCGTCTATTTTGTTATCCAATGATTGTACGTTGGCTAATAGGACTGATGGTAGAGGCAGATTACCTACTCGCCGTCGGATTCTTACAAGGCACCCCGACCTATGTCCCGGATATCTCCATCTCTTTTTCATGCGAATGACGGGGATTTGGGCCTTGTCGGGTGTCTGAAGAAATTTCTTCACTTCCGACTGTATAAAGAAAAAAACTTTGTCCAGTATGAGGTGAGTAATCGCTGTCCTGATATCCAGAAGCTCTTTTCGGTGGCAGAAACATGATGTACAAAATAAGTTACAAATACGTGAATAAACACACACAATAGCACAATTGGTTAGGAGGCCATAAAACGGCAGCCATCTCCTCCGGCGCCATTTCCAGTGTTATTTCTTTAGAACAGAGACCTATGGGCCCTGGTCAAAAGTAGTGAAAAGTAGTGCACTATAACGGGAAAAGTCTGCCATTTGGGACACTAACCTATTCTGACCCCATCCAGCGGTAGCGATCACAACTTTGTGTGATGTATGCTATGATGCAGGTGGGAATACATTCATAGGTTCTGATGTACGTCCATTGAGCATTAGCCAGACAATTATTCTAGAGTCTCTGTGAAAGGCCAACTCCAGCTGTAATCCACTGCAGGTGTCTTCCAGAATACAAAGTTGAAAAGTAATTATCTGTACAAGACCTTAGAATTACTGGGGAAAATAAACCATAGGTCTATTTCTTTGGGAATGAAAAAGACAAGGGCTTCGTCCCAAATGGAACCCTATTTCCTATATATTGCTCTACTTTTTACTAGGACTTTGGTCAAAATTAGTGGATTAAATAGGAAATAAGGTGTCATTTGAGATGCACATAAGAAAACATCAGGTACATTTATTGATTTGGAGCAGCGACTTGTCTAAAGACACAAGGGATCAAATTGTCCTTTTTATAGTTGCTTCACATGGAAACGGTGGCAGTGGAAATCGCTCTGCTTACATGATTAAAATAAACTTTAGCTTCCCTTTGATCATTTTCCTCTCTTCATTATGAGGGGATTTCGTTGTAAAGGCCGCTTTTATCCCAGAAGTATTAGCCTTGTTATGGCAAGTAGTACTCTTGATGTGGTGATACATTGGGTGCCAGTAGCGTGACTAGAGAGAATATTCCTCGCTTTGTTCCTCATATGCCTCTCTCCCTGTATACTTGTCTTCTTCTTCCATTCTTGGGTATTTTGATGCTCTTCAGAAACTAGGTTTTATGTCCAGGGTGGATCAGCAGTCAGGCCTCTCCTCGCTGCCAGTGCATTGATCCATAGTCCTGTCACAACCTTTGTTTTGATGCCGTAAATGGTACTTGTGTCTGTTTTCTGGTTTGTAGAAACTTGACTCGGTGTGTAAACAACCCATTGTTTCTGCTATACTCAACACTCATTTGGGATGTTTGAGGCCGAGAGCTTGACCACAATGTTTTAGGAACGAGAAGTCTGAAGTCTGCTTGAAATTTCTGTGGCACTGAGCGTCATGCAGCTGAGTTTTCAAGGAAATGCCAGTGTCTGTTTGATTTAATAACGACTTTAAACCTAATACTGCTATTTTTGGCCAAGCCTGAGGAGGACCGGGTAAAGCAGATGTAATATTTGACTGAAACTGAGAGGCTAGTTTGACAGACTGGAATGTGAGTGGTCGATTACAGAGAGAAGCTGGACTTTCACGCTTTTCTACGTCGCCTATGACTTTTGGGTTCCATATGGAATCAATCTATTGTGTACTAGCTGTCGAGCCATATTAATTTGTATGTTCAATCTGAAATGCATACCAGCTGCAGTGGTTAACAATTATAGTTTATTTTGTTTTGCTGTTAATTCAAAGCCAGTTGAATGTGCAAGGGCTTGTATTGGTTTGCAGAATGTAATATTTCTGCATGTTTGGGTTTACCAAGGTTCTCCTCCGAAATACAATATTTGACAAAGTCTCAGGGGTTCAAGGGGAGCATGGTTGGCATGCCACCAGTGGAAACACAGAGTGAGAGAGAAAGAGATGGCCCATCCGCTGTCCTTATTAGCTGTGGTCTCTGCCTGCAGATTTGTGATGCCTCAAAGACTTCAGAGAAAAGAAGCTGTAGAGCAATTTAGGGAAGTCGACTAGAACTGAAATGAATCAGAGAAAGGTGGGAAGCTCCTCCAGATAGATGGGGAATGTGAGCAGTGTTTCACACAGCTTCTGTACCTGTTCATCTCTGCTATATCATGTGCCCTTTCAGCACCTGTACTCCACTCTTCATGTGGTGTTATTAGTGATGGCTACTGACCTGGGCCATGTAGAAAAAAGCAGTGAGAGAATGGAAACGTCAGAAAGGACTAAGAACTTGAGTAATACAATATGCACTGAGGAAAGGGAGGAAGTTGGGGAAATTAGGTTTAGTTGGAAAAGAGAAGACCGGGATAATTAAACAGGCTACTTGTGGTAGGAATGTATTTTTTGTATTCTGGGAAGTAGGAAACACTGAGGGTAATCAGTAGCTTTCCAGTTCACTTGCTAATTGTTGATATCAATGTTTATCATTAGTATTTTTGTAAATATCCTATTGTTTACTCTGTCCATTTGTTTTTACGTCTAATTAAGTTTAATTAGTCTATGGGCCACAGATTCAGTCAGTTTCACACACCCAGGGAGTTCCTGTGCTCTGACTCCAATTGTATTGAGAAGATAAATGAAAATGGTGGATGTGAACACATACTAGGCATGGGGATTGTCACGGAGTTGGTGTCAGTCAGTGGCCTAAAATTCGGACCTGCTCATTAAAAAAACAGTCATTTCTTATGGAAACCGTTATGTTTATGAGAAGCACACCGTTAGGATTTGTTTCAACCATGACCATTAACAACTGATGCCCTATTATGTTTTGTATAGTTAAAATCCACTGAAACACATCTATCTATTCCCAGGTCAGAGGACACCCTGAGCCCCAGGTCACGTGGTCCAGGAATGGGAAAGTAGTGATAGCTGGAGAGCGCTTCGCCATGGAACAAAGTAGCCGTGGAACCTTCAGCCTGGTGGTCCATGGTGTCCAGGAGGAGGATGCAGGGCGTTACACATGTGAGGCAGTCAACGATGCCGGAAGTCGCCAGGTCACAGTGGAGATCACTGTAGAAGGTACAGCAGCTCCTAAATTTGTGTTCCAAATGGCGCCCTAGGCTGCCGTTTGGGACACAACCTTACCCTCTCCATCAGCCAACCAGATAGATAATGGAATGGTCTGTTGACAAATGTTTGGGCAGGGTCCACTGGCTTTGCTTTGTAGCTCATTTAAAATGTAGCATAGAAAGCAGACTTCTAAGTAACCCTGAGAAATGCACGGCCTCAATACCTCATGTGAAATTAAACCAAGACTGCGGCAAGTATTTTAAACACCAGCACATTTATTCTACTCCATAACATATAAGACGTCCTTTAATACATTATTATACATGGGCTTTTATACTGTGCCCAAGTTATGTTTTAACTCAATGTAATGATAGGAATAAGGTTGAATATGGATCATCTTCAAAAGGACCACTTTGTTTTGACTTATTGCAGATAATGTCCTTTTCTAATTCACTGTTCAGAAGGAACTCATTAGAGTAACCGATACAAAGTCAACAGAGGCTTCGTCCCAAATGGCCCCCTATTCCCTATATAGTTCACTACTTTTGACCAGAGCCCCATAGACCCTGGTCAAAAGAAGTGCAGTAAATGGGGAATAGGGGGCCATTTGGGATTTATACTGTCCACATGGAATTGTTCCTTTCTGTTAGCATAAGTGGTGTTAGCTTTTACATTTTTACATTTTAGTAATTTAGCAGACGCTCTTATCCAGAGTGACTTACAGGAGCAATTAGGGTTAAGTGCCTTGTTCAAGGGCACATCGACAGATTTTTCACCTAGTCGGCTCAGGGATTAGAACCAGCGACCTTTTCGGTTACTGGCACAACGCTCTTAACCACTAAGCTACCTGCCGCACACTTTGATTTTCTAATTCCTTGGTGTATACATGCCAGCTGTGCCTTTCCATTTCTGATAGTTACACTGCAGATACTTAGGTTACATTATGAATGATAGAGGGGGGCTGGCGCCTACTGCTTTCCAGGGAGAAGTATGTAAACATTCGGACATCCTCCACATTTGTTCAGCTTTCCAAGATCATAAACAGCTATTTAGGCACCTCGGGCTCACTAAACATTAACATATGGAGCATGCCCTCTGTAACAAGTAGCAGTACAAACATATTTTACAAGGCATTGGACTGAGATATGAAGCATTCTGCAACACTGCACAGTGCACATTCATTTACATTTCGTGGTGCTGGAATTGCACCAGCGATATATTCTATGGCTGTCTCTCCAATGGCACCCTATTCCCTACATAGTGCACTACTTTGGGCCAGGGCCCTGGGCACTACATAGGGAATAGGGTGCCATTTGAGACGCATACTTTGTTTTTTATTAATTATCTGAGACATGTTTTCTATCTCTCAGGGAACACAGGGAATAAATACAGCCTCCCCTCCTCCAGTAGAACGGGGTAAGATGTATTTGGTTGTGTCCCAAATGGCACTCTATTCCCTACAAAGTGCGGTACTTTTGACCAAAGCCCTATGGGCCCTGGTCAATAGTAGGGCATTATATAAGGAATATGGTGCCGTTTGGGACACAGTCCTTCTTTCCACATGGTGGTATGATTTCTCTTTTTTAAATCAACCTTCCTATCCTGTTTCATCTGTAAAACCGGAATCTTTGATGTTCCATGATCATTTTAATCTTGTATTTTTATATTTAGAATAATGTAGATATGTTTTATGTTGGTGTTAAATATAGCCAGTCAGTCATATTGCTATATTAAGTCATTATTCAAATGTAATTTGTTTGTTCAAGTGATGTTCTTGAGCAGACACATCTTTGGATGCTAAGGTAATGAGTCATTGTGTTTTCTCTGACTCCAGCGGTCGGTTTGGAGTTCCAGCAGTGGAGAGCAGGCCCAGTATCTGGGGGGTGAGCCCCCCCAAGTTTGTGACAAAGCCCTCACGTATCTTTGTCCGAATGGGACAGACTGGCAAATTCTTGGCCAAAATCACAGGACGTCCACAGCCCTTGGTTACCTGGCTCAAAGTGAGATGGAACAGAGAAAGTTTGGCAACTTCAGTAACTTTCCCCAAATTCCAAAGTTTTCCAGAAATCCCAGTTGTAATAATCTTTGAATTCGTAGGGAATAAGCATGAAATCCGACCAGTATTATAGAAACCTGAGAATTTAGGGAAAGTAACTGGAATTTTGCAACTCTAGATGGAATAGGGAAGACGTATTCTGTCTTTCAAAGATGGAGGATGGTGATTCTTCATTTGTGAATCTCTGACTTCCATCTCTCTCTCTTGCTCTATCTCCCTTTCTTCTACTCTCTCTTTTTCTCTGTGATGGATGGTTGTCACAGGGAGATGAAGAGCTCCATGCTTCTCCCCACTTCAACATGTATGAAAAGTCTGGAATCCACTTTCTGGAGATCCGAGATGTGTGTGTGGACGATGCAGGAATGTACACCTGCTCTGTGGCCAACAGTGCTGGGAAGGCCACGGCTACAGCAGAGCTGATCGTTCAGGGTAGGACACTGCAGCCAATCACACAGCCTGTTATTCAGCCATCAGCCGTCAACCCACAGGCAGTGTCCCAAAAATCCATTTTGTAGTGCACTTCTTTTGACTTGGGCCCACTAAATGGGGAATAGGGTGCCGTTTAACATCACAGTAAATCATCAGCAATGCCAGTTCTGAATACAGAGTTATATTTCGTAAATGTTGATTCGTATTTGAGAGGGGAAATTCAGTGTGTATCCTTTCCTTTTTAGGTTCAGGCAGTGAGCCGGGCATGTGAGTATGTATCTCATACAGTACCCTGTATAGTGATATTACTAACTGTGTGTTTACATGAGTAAGCATTTTCGTGAGTTGGATACATTTCTACAAAATATTTCCACAATTTCTTCACAGTGAGGTATTCAATCTTTTGACAATGTCACGTGTTACTACCACTACAGCCTAGGTCCATCTGCTCTGGTAGCACCTGTCCCAAAGACAACTGACTCACCTGAAGTCAAGCCCACAAGTAACGGCCTGCTCGCAGACAAACGATCACCTACCAAGACAGGAGACAGGGCTGAGACCAGACTCACTGCTCTCACCAGGGAGACCAAAGACAGCATAGAGACCAAAACTCCAGCATGGAAGACCAGCGCAGAATCTCCCAAGACCACCGTCGTGACTTCTCCCAAGCCTCCTGCGGACCTGCCAGACAAGGCCCCCAGACAGCCTGGCGTCTCTCCCCTCAAGGTTGCCAGCTCCACCACCACCCGGCAGCACCACCTGAGAGGCCAAGGGGCTGCAAGGACCAGCCCACCCCCCCAAAGCAGAGCCCCTGAGAGGGATACAAGAGATACTGTGAAGACCCCCCCAAAGGGAGTCCCAGACCCATCTCCAGAGCCCACCAGAGAGACCAGAAGGCAGGCCAGAGAGAGCAGGTCAGAGAGGGCAGCAGTGACTGCAGGAGCTCAACCCAAATTTGACTCTGTACCTCAGAGCCAGGATGCTACGGAGGGGACCCAAGTCATATTCAAATGCCAAGGTGATTCAAAACATCTTGCGATGCCATGTTTCAGATGTTTTTTGATATAAATTATATATTTAATCAGAGAAAATAGTACAAGACCTTCCCAACACATTCCCAACTTTAGATGTTTTTGACCAAACTTGAATAGGCCATTTGGACAATGTTCGCTAATAGCTACTTTATTGTTGCATATTTAACCCATTAGATTGACTGTTGATGTGTTCTTCCAGTCTCAGGTTCTCCTGTGCCTGGCCTGAGCTGGGTTAAAGATGGCCTCCCTTTGAGACCCAGAGCAGGCCTGACCTTCCAGCAGGACGGCAACACACACATCGTCACTCTGACCAACGTCCAGAAGAGGGACAGTGGGACTTATGGATGCACCATGACCACAAGCACTGGGAAGGTGTCTTCTACTTGGACCCTCAGTGTCAACAGTAAGTACTTAGGATACATCCCAAATTGCACCCTATTCCCTATAAAGTACACTACTTTTGACCAGAGCCCTATGGGCCCTGGTTAAAAGTAAGGCACTGTATAGAAAATAGGGTGCCATTTGAGACACACCCTAAGTTTACTGTACAGACTGTGACAAGTCTGTACAGTAAATGTTGCTTTAATAGGGTGAACTAAGGCCCTTGTTGTGTAGAATATTCATTACATGACTCCTTTTCAGTGAACAGTTTCAGTGAGCACAGTTTCTAGTCTCCAGCTCTGCCTTTGGGTAAAAAATTATCTAATTCCTTTCCCCTGGCTGTCTCAATCAAAACAGGATAATGATGAAGGAAGGAATAAGGGAGCACATCGACGTTAAGTCCATTCCTCAGCTACAATGCTGACTTGGGCTGAGTTCATCCAAAACGAGACTGTTGCATTTGGAAACGAGACTGTTGCATTTTTAAAGGAGACTGTTGCATGTCCTTCTAAGCCATCTGCTGTCGGTGACAAAACAAAAGTTGCTTGTTTATTTAATGATAATCAAAGTGAAACTATTTTAATGGAGGATTTGGAGAGGTTTTGATATCTTGTCTAGTTGTTTTTGTTTGGACTAAACAGACTGGCACCCGTCTACAGTGATTCAATTTGCAGCAAAAGGGGAGAGTCTGGCAGTTTTATCACGTTTATTTTCTATAATACAGAACAGTGCCAAACACTATGCAGATTCAGTTTGTTTTGCTTGAGACGAGCAGTCTATATTTGTTGGGAGTGAGTGTCCTTTAGGAATGACTGCAACTGTTCTTGTCTACCTATGCCATCTACTGGAAAGAAGGAAAATTGCATCTTGTCAGATACCAAGTCTGCGTCCCAATTTCCCAAGTGTGCGCTTGCACACTCCCCGTCATCGATATAAAAGCTTTGGATTGGTGTAAGCATTGGTTGAAGGGCATTTCCAGCATTGTTAAATCCATGATGGGAGTGTGCAAGTGCAGAATCAGGATGCACCCCCACTTTGCTAATACCACATTTGTTACTCTTAGACTGACCAGTACCACACATTCCCTCATTTTAAATGTACTGCAAGGCTCCAATGCAATGTAATATACTGTAAATGTTAGTACTCTGTCTGTGTACTCCCTCCCCTGCAGACTCACGGCTGGAGGGCAAGCCCCCGGCGTTCAGCACAGTCCTGAAGGGATGTTCAGTGAGTGAGGGCCAGGACTTCCTTCTGCAGTGCTCAGTGGATGGAAAGCCTCTACCTAACATCTCCTGGCTCCTAAACGGTGAGAGAGCCTATCATTACATCTCCCCCAGCAGTAACTAGGGTTGCAAAATTCCAGTAACTTTCCCAAAATTCCCACGTTTTCCAAAAATCATGGTTGAAGGATTCTGGATTACTTCCTGATTCGGGGAATCTTCCAACCAGGATTTCTGGAAAACCCGGGAATTCTGGGAAAGTTAAGGGAATTTTGCAACCCTAGCAGTAACAGTCACCACTGTCCAGTTATGCCCATTTACCCACTAGAGGGGGGTGATGTTCCTGTTTTCAAAGCTTTGCACCTCACAGGACTGACCAACTAAAATCAGGTCCATTTCTATAAAAAGTGATGGATGATATAAAGTGAAGGAATAAAAATGTCTCTGTACTCAGAACCTTCTTGAACAGATCAGCTAGGCAGGGGGTGTAAGTTATTGTGTGTCCCAAATGGCACCCTATTTCCTATATAGTGCACTACGTTTGACCAGAGCCCTATGGGATGCCATTTGGGACGTAGTCATAGTAGTTCTGCTACTGCTTTCCCTCTCAGCCTGAGGGTGCCCCTTCAGAGGGCCACCATTTCACAAGTCTGGCTGCTCTGCTGCTGAAGGTTCATGTGTCTCTGTACCATGTCCGGATCACACACAGAGAGTATTTATTTTTTATCTTTAACTGCTCCACATATTTAACGTCAGAGGAAACCCCCTTGAATGTGGCATTTCATAAGGTCATGATTCAAAAATGTAAGCATGGCATGACAATTGATCTAGTAGAATTCCAACTCAACACAGTGAACCAAGGTTATTATAGTTTTGTGATTTTCTATTAGTTTTTATTTCTATTAGTTTTTAGATCAATATTTAAAATTCAGTTTAGTTTCTGTTTTCAGACTTGATTTACTAGTTTTTATTTAGGGCGAGTTTTATAAAATCATTGTTTTAATGTTAGGGACAGAAAGTAGGAGCGAGGCTAGGATCCATTTATGTGTTGGCCTATAGTTTGTGTTTTTTGGGGGATGTCACTTCTTGCGACTGGGGGGCAGTAATACATTTTAAATTATAAATCAATCTTAATGTGACTTAGATTTAAAATGATAATTGTCTGCCGCGCAGTTCAAAGCTATGGCCAGCTCTGGTTGTTGTTGGTCATGGGTATTATTTTGGTTGTTGTGTAATAGCTTGATAGCCTTGAAAATGTTTGCCCCGTTGACAGTTGCGACGAGTAGGATCTTCTCCTCTGGTATGTCCCATGCATCCAATGTGCAGTCAATTACCTCTCCTGTGTGCGGATGCTAAATCCGATGGAGGTTGAGCAATACATGCTGTGCCTTGTTGGAGAAGGGGTGATAGAAGCTGGCTGATATGCCCATAAAGGAAGCAGTCAGTCCTTTTCATGCTCCATCCATCTACACACAGGGTTATTTTTTATGGCTCTTTCAGAATGTCCATAACTTTCTGGGTTGCTGTATCCATTTGCAAAGCAAACAACCCATTTACTCTAGCAGTGGCAGGAGTTTTGAATAAAATAAAATAATATTTGTCACATGCTTCGTAAACAACAGCTGTAGACTAACAGTGAAATGCTTACTTACGGGCCCTTCCCAACAATGCCGAGAGAGAGAAAATAGTGAAATAATAGCAATAAGTAACTATAACTTAGCTATATACACAGGGTACCAGTACCGAGTCGATGTGCAGGGGTACGACGTAATTGAGGTAGCTATGTACATATAACTAGGAATAGAGTGACTAGGCAACAGGATAGATAATAAACAGTAGCAACAGCATATGTGATGAGTAAAAAAAGTTAGTGCAAAAAGGATCAATGCAGATAGCCCTTTGTAGCGCCTTGTGGTCGGATGCCAAGCAGTTGCCATACCAAGCGGTGATGCAGCCAGTCTAGATGCTCTCAATGGTGCAGCTGTAGAGCTTTTGGAGGATCTGAGGACCCATGCCAAATCTTTTCAGCCTCCTGAGGGGGAAGAGGCGTTGTCGTGCCCTATTCATGACCGTGTTGGTGTGTGCGGACCATGATAGATCCTTAGTGATATAGAAGCTGAGGAACTTGAAGCTCTCGACCCGCTCCCCTACAGCCCTGTCCATGTGAATAGGTGTGTGCTCTGCCCTCCGTTTCCTGTAGTCCACCATCAGCTCCTTTGTCTTGCTGACTTTGAGGGAGAGGTTGCTCTCATGGAACCACACTGCCAGGTCTCTGACCGCATCCTTATAGGCGGTCTCATTGTCGTCGGTGATCAGACTTACCACTGACGTGTCTTCAGCAAACTTAATGATAGCGTTAGTCGTGGGTGAACAGGGAATACAGGTGGGGACTAAGCACGCACCTGTGTTGAGGGTCAACGTGGCAGATGTGTTGTTGCCTACCCTCACCACCCGGGGGTGGCCCGTCAGGAAGTCCAGGATCCAGTTGCAGAGGAGGTGTTCAGTCCCAGGGTCCTTAGCTTAGTAATGAGCTTGGAAGGCACTATGGTGTCGAACGCTGAGTTGTAGTCAATTAACAGCATTCTCACATAGGTGTTCCTCTTGTTCAGGTGGGAGAGGGCAGTTTGGAGTACAATAGAGATTGAGTCATATGTGGTAAAGGTCTTCACAGGTTCAAAAAGTTGGACCCATTCCGAAATGGCCCTGGGGCTTTCCCACCTGGACCCGATATGCATACATAAAGTGCATTTAGACAGCTTTACTTTTTCCACATTTTGTTACGTTACAGCCTTATTCTAAAATGCATTAAATAGAAACAATTCCTCATCAATCTACACACAATACCCCATAATGACAAAGCGAAAACAGTTTTTTTGACATTTTTGCACATTTATAAAAAATAAAAACAGACATTCCTTATTTACATAAGTATTCAGTCCCTTTGCTATGAGACTAGAAATTGAGCTCAGATGCATCCTGTTTCCATTGATCATCCTTTTCTACAACTTGATTGGAGTCCACCTGTGGTACATTCAATTGATTAGACATGGAAAGGCATACACCTGACTATATAAGGTTGACAGTGCAAGTCAGGGCAAAAACCAAGCCATGAGGTTGAAGGAATTGTCCTTAGAGCTCCGAGACAGGATTGTGTCGAAGCACAGATCTGTGGAAGGGTACCAAAAAAATTCTGCAGCATTGAAGTTCCCCAAGAACACAGTGGCCTCCAACTACCAAGACTCTTCCTAGAGCTGGCAGCCCGGCCAAACTGAGCAATCGGGGGAGAAGGGCCTTGGTCAGGGAGGTGACCAAGAACCCGATAGTCACTCTGACAGAGCTCTAGAATTCCTCTGTGGAGATGGGAGAACCTTCCAGAAGGACAACCATCTCTGCAGCACTCCAACAATCAGGCCTTTATGGTAGAATGGCCAGACGGAAGCCACTCCTCAGTAAAAGGCACATGAAAGCCAGCTTGGAGTTTGCCAAAAGGCACCTAAAGACTCTCAGACCATGAGAAACAAGATTCTCTTGTCTGATGAAACCAAGACTTGAACTCTTTAGCCTAAATGCCAAGCGTCACGTCTGAAGGAAACCTGGCACCATTCCTATGGTGAAGCATGGTGGTGGCAGCATCATGCTGTGGGGATGTTTTTCAGCGGCAGGGACTGGGAGACTAGTCAGGATCGAGGGAAAGATTAACAGAGCAAAGTACAGAGAGATCCTTGATGATAACCTACTCAGGACCTCAGACTGGGGCGAATGTTCACCTTCCAACAGGACAACGACCCTAAGCACACAGCCAAGACAACACAGGAATGGCTTCGGGACAAGTCTCTGAATGTCCTTGAGTGACCCAGCCAGAGCCTGAAAATAGCTGTGCAGTGACGCTCCCCATCTAACCTGACAGAGTTTGAGAGGATCTGCAGAGAAGAATGGGAGAAACTCCCCAAATACAGGTGTGCCAAGCTTGTAGCGTCATACCCAAGAAGACTCGAGGCTGTAATCGCTGCCAAAGGTGATTCAACAAAGTACTGAGTAAAGGGTCTGAATACATATGTAAATGTGATATTTCCGTATTTTAATTTTAGAAATTTGCAAACATTTCTACAAACCTGTTTTTGCATTGTCATTATGGGGTATTATGTGTAGATTGATGAGGGAAATAAAACCCTTTAATCAATTTTAGAATAAGGCCGTAACGTAACAAAATGTGGAAAAAGTAAAGGGGTCTGAATACTTTCCAAATGCAGTGTACGTTTTTTAAATTAGGAGACCCATTCCGAATGAAGCCGAAGACAACTAGACCCGTTCCGTATAGACCTGGTCAGATCCGATCCGAGTGAAGTCATTTTTTAAAGCTACTTTATTAACCAGAGCTGATAAAGCGTGAGAGGAGGGAGAGAGGTGCCGCTCTAGCAGGTGGGGTAGGGGCCGTACTGTGAGCGAGTGACACAGGAAGGAGGGAGGGAGAGACGAGACAGCAACCAACCAACCAAGCCGACTTGCGCTATAGTAGACTAATAGCTGCCATAGCTAGGTTATTTATCATCAATTATGATTACGTAGTACCTGTCTTGACTGCATTAAACCAGGAGAAGCTAGTTAAGCTGCGCTTTCTCATCCTACAGTTACAAATAACAACAACCATTCAGAATATTAAGGAGCAGCCTAGGCTCTGAGGCTACAACTATCTTCCATTGATTAGATAGCTCCTAACTTTTGCCACACGGAGCGAGGCTCTGACTGTAGCCTATTGCCGCTTTGATGACTTATGATTTGCCAACAACAAGCTACATGTGCCACGCTCCACTCACGTGAAAAGCAAGAGCAGCAGCATAAATTATAAAATGTCTCTCTCTATTGCCGCAGTCTCGTTCGAATCTGTACGGGCCCTTCTGAACAAGTCAGTTAAAATTACACATACCCGAGACCCGAGACCCGTGAAAATAATATCAGACCCGACCCAGACCTGTGACATTATTTAGAATTCTGGATCCAGACCCGCTCGGGTCCCAGACCGGGTCTCGGGTATTCGGGTACAGG